ATAGTAGGAGTAACCATTTTTTTCTTTTTAATTCTTTCTTGCAAGGTGGAAAATGGAATTTCAAATCGTTTAGCAGCAGCTCGCATAGAAATCTCACCTTGTATATATATAGTATTAAGGTGTAAGGTTGTATGCTCACAGATATATAAATTTTTAAAATCATTCAAATAGATGAAATCACAAAACAAATCGGTGTTTTATTTTGTCGAGTCACCATTTCAGTTTGATCCACATGAAATAAAAAAATTCAATATAACCGTAAACCAACAAGACAATAAAGGTAGAATTCTGAAAATGTATGTGTGTGTCTATTTTCAAATTAGCCAATGAAGTAAGAAACAATTTTAGAACTGACGATAACCGCTGAATATGCATTAGTATTCTTATTAGCAAACTCATCGCTTTGCGAAAGAAACTTCTTTTCAGCCCTTTCAACTGGATTATTCCAACTCATTCAAATTCCAAAAACGTAAGAACCCCACACTAATGTTTGTATCGAGAAGCCTGATGGAGTGGCTTCGCGCAAAAGAAAGTGACGCGTAACAGAAATGATTGATACATCTTCACTTGGCTTTTTGATGTCGTGAAGGCTCCAAGCAACTTAAAAGAAAAAGTGTATAAATATAAATATCTGGTGTGAGAATAACGAATAATATTTTCCATTTACTGGAATACGTTGAAAGTACAGAAGTCTGTGCTCACATTATGATCAAACTTTTCTATTTTATAGTTTCAGTAAATGTAGGAAACTCTAAAAGTGATTCTTCAGTTCTAGATAGAAAAATTATTGGATGTTAGTAAGTGCATCATCATCTCATCAATCACCTGCTTAATAAAAAAAGAAATATGGAAAATGATTTTGTACATATTATTTATGAAACTCATCCAAAATATTTGCTTCAACTAATCACCTAATCTCTAACTTCATATCCATTAGGGTAAGATGGGGTAATGCCGGTCAGTTAACGATATTTGAGCATTAAAGTGAAAATACAAAACCTATAATTATTATAAGCAAAAGATAAAGTAACATTCATTCTATGTAATTGAACACAATTGAAAAGAAAAAACTGACATTTTGTAATATAAAACACTCAATTTGAAAAACTTGTCATTGACCGGGATTGTCCTGACCTGTGGGTATTACCGGTCATGGGCATGGGCAATACCGGTCATACACAAAAATCACAAATATATCCCCTCGGTGTATCCTTCCCGGAACTTAATTGATGTGCCTATTGTCCACATGTTGTACATCTATACCAAACTTCACTATTTGGTCCATAATCATTGCACACAAGGCAAACATTTAAATCTGTTTCATAATTTTCGCTATCACTACAGATTTCCATATCAATATCAGATTCCGAGGACGACTCTGTTTGTTTTTTGCTTAATTTTGTTGGAAGTTTTTTCCGGGTAGTGATGTCTGCTATCTTTGGTTCTTCAATACTACTTTTATCAAGCGAGTCTATTATGTTTCTCTTAGCGTCCTTTAAACCTTTTCTTTTATTCGTCTTACCTTTATTCTTCTCCAGTTTTTCATTCTTCTTAAATTCTTTTTCTTGCAATAGGTACGTAATCACAACTCTGTCACCGAGTTCGAACCCATTCAGCAAAGGGTCCACATAAAAGCCGCAGATATCACCTCCTGCGATAACACAAGGATAAGTCAATGCATGGTGTCTTCTTCAACAACATTGAAGACCTTGGCTTATCAAAGCGCCTGACTTTCGTTTTCCTCACTCTAGTGGGCTAAAGTCGGAAACTGAGGGGCTCATCATGGCCTGCTAGGATAGTGTTTTCAACACCTTGATCTACCGCAGTCGAGTGATGTGTTTAGAGGTTCCTTACACAAGTCGCAGGGGTACTGTAATAACACCTAACGGACATGTATCGAATGATATTTCATTTCACTCTGCCTATGTGTTTCAATAGATATAAAGTCCAATAAAATAAAAATTACCAATTTTTTTCAAGCAAAATAAAGACAAATGATAAATAGGAGTCCATTCCATAGTTTTTTGATATTTTTCATCAACTAAATGGACAAGTTGAAGTGACTAAACTTTATCAATAGGTATAGGTTCAGATATGGAATAGAAGCTACTAATTTTAGTTAAACTGAGTAGTATACAAAACGTAATTTGGTGTCTATTTTATAATTACATGACATTCTTCATTTACTAGGGTTATAGTTGAAGAGTAGTTGAGTATATGTATAGCAGTGGACGTTTGGATGTACGAAGACGTACAGTATATATTTGTAAGATATTACAAATTATTATGAATTATGATAATTACTTTCATAATGATTGTATATTGTTATTATTATAATATTATTTTTTATCAATATTTTATCAATATCAAAAAAGTGTTACTAGGCATCATTTTCCGTTATCAGATAATTTAATATTCAAGTGAGTGGAAAGAAAGTTGATTCACGGGACAGAATGAAATTAGAAGATTTATTCGTCACATCTCACGAAGTCCAAACTGTAAGAGATAACCAGAAGTGCAGGCTGAATGTACGTAACGGACTAAGTAAAAACCGCAAATCAATAACCCCAGCATCCAGCACCGGAAATATATAACTTTTCCAATTCATGCTACAACGAATTTATGGAGTTTGCAATATCGAGCATAAATCAGGGAGTAATATTCTTTTTTCTGAGCGTGTTCAATCAACGATTTTGTTTGCTCATGCATGTAGCTTGCGCCGCCGACTAGTTCACTTTGCCAATTAGCCATTCCGACCCCTAACGTGCTGCCCTGACAACGCCCCTCGCATCCCCTTCAAATTCAAAATTTCATTCGTTTCGAATTAATATGAGTTTCATATAAAAATCACTTTTTACCGCTCTGTCTAGACGCGTGTGTCAATAGGAGGCAATGATTTTGCCATTAATAATTAATGGAAGGACTATATACAGGCAGGTGTAAAACAAAAAATGTCATGATATAATTTTTCTGGTATTTTGTTTCGCAGGGATTCTCGCGAATGTATCAATTCAGCGAAATGTATATGTTTTTGTGAAAATGTATTATTCAAAAGTCAAGAATGTTATGACAGACCAACAACACATGTTTAAATGATTGAAACGAACTAAAAAACATTACACCAAATTTTTCAGTATAAAAT